CGGCGATCCTTCCGCCTCAGCCTTCCCAGTAGCTGGAACTACAGGCGTGCGCTACCATGCCCGGCTAATTTTTTTATTTTATTTTATTGTAGAGATGAGGTCTCCCCAAGTTGCCCAGGCGGGTCTCGAACCCGCGGTCTCAGGCAATCCACTCACCTTAACCTCCCAAAGTGCTGGGATTATAGGCTGAGCCACCGAGCCTGGCTGCATTTTTTATTTTAAATGAAGTAGAGTAGAATAGAAAATATCAGTGTGCGTTGCACAAAGTGAGGGTATGTCTTGTTTTGTGAAGATTCTCCTCGTCTAGGCACATGTATAATTATGTTAGTACCAGATTGCAATGTACAGTGCAGTTTTTACCATGCACTGTTTTAAAGAAAAGTTTGAAATAGTGTAAAAAATACAGATCTCCAGACCCCCATCAGTCTGTCTGGGGAGAGTTCTGGAATCTCCTTTTTTTTTTTTTTGAATCAGAGTCTCACTGTTGCCCAGGCTGGAATGCAGTGGTATACTCACAGCTACCACAGCCTTGACCTGCTGGGCTCAGGCGATCCTTCCACCTCAGCCTTCCAAGTAGCTGGGATTACAGGCATGTACCACCATGCCCTGCTAATTTTTCGATTTTTATTGTAGAGTTGAGATCTCGCTATGTTGCCCAGGCTGGTCTCGAACCCCTGGACTCAGGCAGTCCTCTTGCCTCGGCTCCCCTAAAGTGCTGGGATTACATGTGTGAGCCACCGTACCTGATTGGAATCTACTTTTTTTTTTTTAGTTGGAATCTCGCTTTGTTGCCCAGGCTGGAGTGCAGTGTCACGCTCATGGCCATCGCAGCCTTGATCTGCTGGGCTCAGGTGACCCTTCCACTTCAGCCTTCCTAGTTGGGACTACAGGCATGTGCCACCATGTCTGGCTGATTTTTTGATTTTTACTGTAGAGTTGAGATCTCATTGTGTTGCCCGGGCTGGTCTTGAACCTGTGGGCTCAGTCAATCCTCTCCCCTCGGCCTTCCCAAGTGCTGGGATTATAGGCATGAGCCACTGCGCTTGGCCTGGAATCTACATTCTTTTTTTTTTTTGAATTGGAGTCTCACTCTGTCGCCCAGACGGGAGTGCAGTGGCCGCTCCTGGCCACTGCAGCCTCGACTTGCTGGGCTCCGGTGATCCTTCCACCTCATCCTTCCAAGTAGCTGGAACTACAGGCATGCGCGACCACGCCCGGCTAATTTTTGATTTATTGTGGAGATGAGGTCTCACCAACTTGCCCAGGTGGGTCTCGAACCCGCGGGCTCAGGCAATTCACTCACCTCAGCCTCCCAAAGTGCGGGATTACAGGCTGAGCCATCGAGCCTGGCTGGAATCTACGTTTTTTTTGTTTTTTTTTTTTTGAGTTGGAGTCTCACTCTGTTGCCCAGACTGGAGTGCAGTGGTCGCTTCCGGCCACCGCAGCCTCCACCTGCTGGGCTCCGGCGATCCTTACGCCTCAGCCTTCCAAGTAACCGGAATTACAGGCGCGCGCTACCACGCCCGGCTGGTTTTTTTGGTTTTATTGTAGAGATGAGGTCTCCCTAAGTGGCCCAGGCGGGTCTCGAACCCACGGGCTCAGGCAGTCCACTCACCTCAGCCTCCCAAGGCGCGGGATGACAGGCTGAGCCACCGAGCCCTGCCTGAGGCTCTGTTTCTTATTAGCACCTCCCCTGAGAACGACTAGCCAGGGTCTGTGGGCGTGATGCTTGTGGAGGGCCTGGCGCTGAGTGTGCCCGTGGCGTGCCCCGACCCCCGCTCCCCGTCTTCTTCGCTGATGGCCCTGTTCCGTGCCCCGCAGACCAGCAGAACCTCACAGTGACTCTGGACCAGGTGCTGTTCCGCTGCCTGGAACACCAGCAGCACTGGAACTGCCTGGGCAAGGAGCAGGCCTGCCCGGAGCCCGCGGGGCCCGGGTCCCCGCTGCTGGCGCCCTGCCCGCCGCACAGCCTCATCTTCAGCTGCATCTCGCAGGCCTTGCAGTGGGTCAGCCAAGGCCGGGACCCCGTCTTCCAGCCCCCGAGCCCTCCAAGGAGCCTGTCCGCCCATCCCGTGGCCGCCAGTGGGGCTCGGGTGTTGCGTGAGGCCTCTGCCATCCACGTGCTGGTCACGGGCAGCCTGCACCTGGTGGGGGGTGTCCTGAAGCTGTTGGAGCCCTCCCTGTCCCAGTAGCCGAGGCCGCAGGCCCAGAGACACCCCCTGCGTCCCTCTGTGAACTCTGTGCTAGTGCCTTTCGTTTTCTGCTCTCCCCAGTCTGCCTAGACCGGTCAGGGGATCTGGGTGGGCTCCGGGCGCCGAGTAGAGGGCTGAGGATGAAAGGCTGGGAGAGGCCGGCCTCTGTGTTTGAGGCTCTGTGCCTGGCGGCTGCTTCCTCCTGACCAAGTGGGCGGGGCCTTCCCGAGTCTCCCACTATTGGAGCAGGCCAGCTTCCCCCCCACCTGGCCCAGGCCCAGCTTATTGTGCGAGCGGCCTGACCAGGCCTAGGGTCCTGCCGGGTGCTGGGCAGTAGACTTCCTCCTCCCAGTGCCTTCTGGGAAAGGAGAGGACCCCTGTCTGGGGACAGGGGGTGGCTGGAGTAAATTAAAGGCTTTAATTTTGTTTAAAAAAAAGAAATGGCAAAACCTTTGACTTTTTTGTGGGGGGGGGATCAGGGTCTCACCTCATTGTCACCCAGGCTGGAGTGTAGTGACACAATCATGGCTCACCACAGCCTCAACTTTCTGGGCTCAGGTGAGCCTTCAACCTCATGAGTAGCTGGGACTACAGGCGTGTGCCACCACACCTGGCTAATTTTTTTTTTTTTTT